CTCATCCCCGGCATCCAGCAGGTGCCTTACCCCCAGGGGGAGCGGACCAGCCCGGGCGCCAGCAGCCTGCCCACCACCGACAGCCCCACCTCCTACCACAACGAGGAAGATGAGGAGGATGACGAGGCCTACGACACGATGGTGGAGGAGCAGTACGGCCAGATGTACATCAAGGCCACCGGCAGCTACGCAGGTAACGCACCGCGCCCGCCCCCAGCCGGCGTGGCCCGTCTCCAGGCCCCACGTGGGCACCAGCAAGCCTGACCCCTGCTGGGTGTCGGGCAGGTGGGTCAGGGACAGCTGGAGGCCACGGTGCTGGAGGTGTGCAAGGGGGCCCCCCAGAACCCCGACAGCAGGAGCCGAGACCTGAGTGGGGCAGGCCTGGGCCGGGCTCCAGGGCCTCCTCTGAGGGCTTTGAACTCGATCCTCGGTGAGATGAGGGGCCACAGGAAGGCGTTTAGCTGAGCCGAGCCCGCGGGCAGCTAGTGGAGCCTGTAGAAGGCCCTGCCTCCCATCGGACAGATGAAGAGACTGAGGGCCCTAGTGGACCAGAGACCTGCCAGGGGGCTCACAAGACACCGTGTGTGTGGCCCACGCCAGTCACTCGCCTGCTACAGGCCTCAGAGTCCTGTCTGTGAAGTGCTGGCTTCATGTCACCCATGGCCCGTTGACCGCAGCCCTCTCTCCGCCCACGCGGTCCTGCCTGCCCCCAATCAAGGCAGAGCTTCCCTGTGCCCATCCCGTCGGCCGCCACCCCCCGGGGCCCCGCTGAAGGGGGGCTGCCCCACTTGGGACCTACAAACCCGAGATGCCCTCATTCAGACGCCTGCGCTGCAGACCGCGTCACAGTCCCTGGAGAGGGCTCAGGGTTTGTCAGGCAGAGGGTCCCGTTGTTGGGGCCCCAGATCGGGTGTCCCCCGTCTCCTGTGTTCCCCGAAATCTGGCGGTGTGCCTGGGCCCGCTGCCTGCCCTGGTTTGCATGCGGGCCCGCGTCCAGGGCACTGGATCCGGACACATGCGCCAGCGGGAAGCAACGCCCAGCACTGGCCCGAGGGCAGTGGGGACTCTCCCCCCTGGTCCTGTGTCCTCATGCCCTGAGGGGCTCCTCCATCCGTCCTGGGGGCAGGGCAGCGGGAGCTGGGCCCTGGGCAGCTGGGCCCCAGAAGCCATCGAGGACTGGATGGCTGGGTCTCAGCCTCCAGGCTGGCCTGCTGGGTCCCTCCCACAGGCTCTGGGGGCGTGGGAGGCGGTTTCTCTCGAGGTGTCATTGCTTCACTTAAACGCGTGTGGTCGTATTTGCACGAGTCCCATGGGTACCAGCCAGGAAACCAAGCAGCGGCCTGGCCTTCCTGAGGCCACATGGGGCTCAGGCCTTGCAGGGGCCGCCAGGGACCTGCCTGTGTGTGCGGACAGCCACCAGGGAGGCCGGGAAGGGCCATGTAGAGCCCCAAACTGGGCAGCCCCACGGCTTCCCCTCCCTGAGAGGCAGGTCCCGGCCCAGGGCAGACCCACGCCCCTGAGCTCCCCTGTTCTCACGCTGCAGCTGAGGGTGCCAGTGGGGGCGGGGGTGTGGGTCAGGGCAGGATCTGTCGAGGGCCAGGCTGGGACTGCCACTGGGGGCCGTGAGGGTGCACATCTGGGGGCCGCCCTCCCGGCAGCCCCGCAGCCACGTGGCATGTCGTGGAGAAGGAGAAACGCCGGGCCGCTGGCCACCTGCCCCTCTGATGAGCCCGGAGCCTCTCCGCCTGGTCAGGGTGGCCACCCCTGTCCTTGGGGTTCCCAAGGAGCCAATGGCCAGGGTGGGGTTCCAGGGTGGGAAGGCCAAGCTGTCTCTGGCCCTGAGGTGCCTGAGCCGCTCCCAGCCCCCACCCAGTCCTCAGACAAGGGTGCCGGTCCCCGGAGGCCAGGGCCTGGGCCCTCCCCAAGCTGTGT